CTTTGCTTTTCAGGTTGAACTTCAGTGAGCAGCTAAGTATTCAGAAGTGGGAGTGTCCTGGCTTGGGGCCACCATTCAGGAACTCAGGGCCCAGCCCATTGCCGTAGCTGCCACAGGACAACTTTTAAGGCTTCAGGTATATTGTGCTTCTGATGCTTGGCCACACTATGAGCATGCGTGGTCTCATTGAAAGCTAGCCACACGTGCATACTTTGAGCAGCTGAAGAAAAGCTCATAGTCACACTTGGCATATACATAGATACCTGGCTCAATGTGGTTCTGGAAAACCTCACCCCCAAAGGAACTGCAGAATGACATGGCACCAGTGGGACCATGGCGTGACTGCTGCTTCAGACAGATCTGAGGCCACTGGCTCAGGACTGCCTGGCTTGCACCAAGGGCCCCAAGCCTCCTCTCAAGGAAAATCATTGCTTTAAATTCTCCATCAGGCATGGTACTTATATTTGTTTTACTTAGATCTCCAGCTGCGACCTTGCCCTATTCTTTCATTTGGGACAAATTCCTCTGTCTTCTCATTTTGTCTAAGTCTCTGTGCCAGGAAAGTAAGTTATGTCTCCTGTTCTTGAGGGTAATGGCTTTATGAAGAAAAGGTCCTGTAGAGCCCTGCAGGTAGTGTCCTCTTTTTCCCAGAGCTTAGCACTTCTGGGAGTGTCTCCAGTGTGTGCTCTGCTGTTGTGTCCTGGCCACTTTATCCTTCAGCCCAGCCATTTTCAGAGGTTCCCTTTGCCTGTTGTGGGCAATGTTTGGTCCCTGCCTGAATATGGTGCATTTTAACTAGTCTGCTTGTGAAATGAGACATGTCTCCACTGTCACCAGAACTGAGGCCTCACAAAAACTCCCAGGTCAGGAGATACGATGCTGGCAAGGTTTGGGCCAATCTTCTGGTAATGAGGGCCTATCACACTGAGCCAAGGGTGACTGGAAAGGGCATTTTTTCCAGAGGGTGAGGGGGCAGGGCTTGGTACAAGCAAGTTAGATAGCAAGTGTCTGCCCTGTGCTTATGCTGAAGGGCAAGGAAGGGAAATGATGCCAGCCAGTTCCTTTGTTTCTGGAGGGATCTCTCCTTTGAATGCTACCTCTTTGGGACATGCTCCAAGATGAGTAAATAACCTCACCTCCCCATTCTGTGTCCCAGGCACTCTTCAGATTGGTGTTTCCGCACTGTATGTCTGCAGGCTGTTTGCCTGCCTTTTCTCCAAAAGCAGTCCCAATGTCCTCTGAGGTCTCCCAGATCCAAGCATGCAGACCTTTAAAACTCCAGGCTTTAAGCTCTGTTGGTTAAAAGAACTCCCAAAACTCACTTCTCACTTTCCAAGTCCATTGCTATAGGGATTTGTCTTTTCTGTGTATTCTCCTGTGTGCTAGTATGTCTCTCACCCTCCTCTGAGATCACGGCTCCCTCCCCACTGTAGTTCCACAATCCATTTCTCTCCCAAGCTGAGTCTCCACAATTCCTACATTCTTTGATGTAGTCTCTTCCCTACCTTAGTTGTGGAGTTTGTTTTGCTAGTCTTCAGATTGATTTCTGAGGCATTTAGGATTTGGTAGTTGTTAAGTTGTATCCATGGGACACGGTGAACCTAGGATCCTACCATTCTATAGAATTCCTGTAGACCTGGATTTAAAGGGCTCATGTGATCAGGCCAGGTCCACCCTGATAATATGCATAGCTTAAGGTTAACTAATTTGAGACCTTAATTATATCTCCAAAATTCCTTTTGCCATGTGTCTTATTTTCCTGGACTGCCAACAAATTATCCCAAACCTGGTGACTTATAACAAGAGAAATTTATTCTTTAATAGTTTTGGAGATCAAAAGTCTGAATGTCAAGGTGTTGGTGGGATTGGTTGGCTTCTGTGGCCTCTGAGGGAGAATCTGTTTATGCCTCTCTCCTAGCTTCTGCTGTTTGTTACAATCTTTGGTGTCCTTGGCTTGTAGCTGTGTCACTCTAATCTTTGTCTCCACATGGCCCTCTTACCCTATGTGTCTCTGTATCTTTCCTTCTTATAGGGACACCAATATTGAATTTAGGGTCTACTCTACTTTGGTATTACCTCATCTCAACAAATGATATCTGCAAAGACTCCATTTCCAAAATAAGGTCAGTTTCTGGGTTTTGGATGGACATGAATTTTGGGGGGACACTATTCAACCCCAAACAGTCTACTGTGGCTCCCTAAAATTGATGTTTGTCTCATGCATGAAATACATCTAACTCATCCCAATATCATCAAGCCTTCACCCATTCTAGGATCAATTCTAAATCCCAAATCTCGTCTAAATATCAACTCCACAAATCCCAACTGTGATTATCCAAAGCAGGTATGTGTGAGACTGGGTATTAAGTTATCTTATTATTTGAAGACGTGGCCTGTAAGCTGGAGTTCAGAAATAATTTTGTTATGTGGGGACAATTCCTATAAGGTAATTTGACCAATCTTAATTAGGATTATTATTACCATTAAAAAGACAGCATATATAGCTAAAATATATCATATGTATTAAACATTTACTGAATATTATGTATAAGGCATTCTTTTAGGTGCTAGGAATATATTATAAATTAAGATTGACAAAATCCCAACCTTCTTATTTACATTCTGGAACTAAATATGTTCCAAACTGGTAAGAAATCATTATTTTCAGAGAGAGTATTCTTTACCTTATGCAAATAGATTTTTTTTGAGGATTTCTATTTGTGTAGAGCATATATATGAATAGGCCTCAGAAATTCAGTTTGTTCATTACAAGGTTGGTGAGAGGAGTGGCTGACACTCTTGCCTTTGGAACCTACACAGCTATTATATTTCAACTTAGTTCAGCATAAACATTTATTAAGAACCACCATTTGCACCACCTTTTCGCATGTCATTTGAAGTCACTTGTGTCTGTTTGCATCCTAAGTGACCTCTACATCCCCTTACTCACCTTATGTTCCAGCCAAATGGAAATACTTGCTCTACTCTGAACACATTTTTTAAATTATTATTTTTTTTTAAAGATTTTGTTTATTTGTTCATAGAGACACACACAGAGAGAGGCAGAGACACAGGCAGAGGGAGAAGCAGGCTCCCTACAGGAAGCCCGACGTGGGACTCGATCCCGGGTCTCCAGGATCACACCCCAGGCTGCAGGTGGCGCCAAACCGCTGTGCCACCGGGGCTGCCCCCCAAATTTTTTTTTTTTAATTTAAATTTTAGGTAGTCAACATACAGTGCAATACTGGTTTCTGGAGTAGAATTCAGCAATTTATCACTTACATGCAATACCCAATGTCCATCATAACAAGTGCCCTCCTTAATCACCATTGCCCATCTAGCCTATCACCCACCCAATCCCTCCAACAACACTCAGTTTGTTCTCTATTGTTGAGTCTCTTACGGATTGTTTGCCTCTCTCCTTTTTTTCTTTTCCCTCTTCCCATGATGTTCATCTATTTTTTTTCTTAAATTCCACATATGAGTGAGATCATATGGTATTTGTCTTTCTCTTATTTCACTTAGCATAACACACTTCCAACTCCGTCCATGTCCCTGCAAATGACAACATATTCTTTTTGATGGCTGAGTAATACTCCATTATGTACATATTCCACATCCTCTTTATCCACTCATCAGTCAGTGGACATTTGGGCTCTTTGCTCTGGCTATTGTTGATAATGCTGCTGTAAACATTAGGATGCATGTATCCCTTTGAATCTGTATTTTTTGTATCCTTTGGGTAAATATCTAGTAGCACAACTGCTGGATTGTAAGGTATGAACACACATTTTTATGACACTTTGCTTTTGTTCGTGTTCTTTCTTCTACCTAGAAATACTTTCTTTACAGTATTGGAAACTTACTCATTCTTCAAGACACAGCACCAATGGTGGTACTTCTGTGGAATCTTCATATTTGCTATCCCATGGCCGGAGTTAATTGTACCTTTTTCTGTATTCCTACATGATTTTGCCTCTATTTGGCTCAGCATTCTTATTGGGTCTTTTTTATATTATTATAAACTGATTAGTTTCTTCAACTAAATTGTAAACTATTTAAGAGAATTAATATTTATGTACTTAGCACACAGTAGGCAAATAGTGAATGAATAAATATACATTTAAAATGGTTGTAAATCACTAAATTCTATACCTGATACTAAGATTACACTGTAGGTTAACTAACTAGAATTTAAATAAAAACTTGAAAAAAATAAAATGGTGTTAAATTTCAAAATATACAAAATTATTGACAAAAGAGTTCCTGATACTTTAATTTATATGGGAAAATACTGCTTTGATTAAATATATTTTAATTGTAAAAGTATGGGAATATAAGAATTGTTTTTTATGAATGAACCACTTACTACTGAATGAGAAATTAAATAGTAAATATAAAAACCAAAATGTTATTTTACACATAATAGTGATTAGAGATTTTTATGTTTCTGGCACAAAATCTTTTCTTTGTTATGCACTTTCTTGAGCATTGTGTAACACATTCACTAATACTCAAAAAGTGGTTGGGAAGAATAATGTAGTTAAAACGATAGGCTATATTTTTATATTGTAATTGTGCAAAAAGTAACCAAAAGAAGGAAGTCATACTTTTTGTATTTTGACAACATGTGAAAGTAAAAGTTTTTTCTATTATATCTTTGTGATTACTATACATATTTACCTGTTTTGATAATGGAAGTCTTTTGGTTAACATATTAGCAACTTGGAAGAGATTTTAATTTGTAGAAAGGCTGGTATTCTTGGCATGGTTGTTTAAAGATGGAAACCTTGGGAAGCAAAATAAATTATGAGCTAATATGAAATAGTAGAGCTTTTAATTTATAATATTGTTCTGATTCAGCATTTTATTCTTATTTGGGATTTGTGCTTAAATGATTAGAAAACATACTAGAAGAAAAAATTGTCGCAATTTACTGTCTCTCTTGATTGGCAAACAAGTCATTCTAACCATCTCCTGTTGGCTCATATCTATTGCAGGCTTAGTCCTCCTGTTCTTCCAATGTGTTCCTTAAAGGAAATACATCTGTCTACTGATAAATTTTTCAGAATGGAACCATCTGAAATTACCAATGGTTGTTTTCTTTCTGTTCTAACAAGGGAGGTAAGGGGGAAAATTCCAATCCATGTCATGCTTTGAATTAAGAAACTGCAAACCTCATAAAGAGGAACCTAGGTACTTTGTGAAGATTTTGAAATGGTGTGCTTACTGTGTGACACAAAAATCCCTTTTTTATTTTATTTTTTATTTTATTTATTTTATTTATTTATTTTTTAATCCCTTTTTTAAAAGCTCATTTGTTTTAGGAAGCTCTATACCCAACACGGAGCTCAAACCCATGACCCTGAGATCAAGAGTGGCCTACTCTTCTGACTGAGCCGGCCAGGTGCCCCCAAATCCGTCTTTTTCTCTTTCCATTCCTCCTGAGCGATCCTTGCGTATCTGCTCTCCACCCCTACCTTTCCAAGCACTTTGCCAACATGTAGTTCATCTTAGCTCACATGGAAAAAATAAGCTCTAGAATTTTTTTTTTCTATCACATTTACAAATGAGGAAGTTTAAAGTAAAAAGTCATTTGCTGAGGTTTATGGGATATATTTGGGAATAAGGACTGAAAACCATTTCCTTTATAGTAATAAAGATACTCTTTTATTTTTACTGAAATGCTGGGAGAATTTATAATATACAACTCCAACATGTAGTAACTGCCTCTTTTTAATTGTAGCGGGACCCATCTGAGACAGTGTCTGTGAAGGATGTTTTGGCCCGGGCTGCAGCAAAAGGTCTATTGGATGGAATTGAGTTAGGTAAATCTTCAAAACGGGAGAAGAAGAAGAAAAAATCAAAAACATCATTGCCAAAAGCTCCCACTAATGACAATAACGGGATCCAAATGAAAATCACTGAGTTCCTGAATCGAGAAACAAATGCAAAAGCTAATCGGCCAGAGATATTAACAAAAACATCTTTTCCACAGAAAAATGCAACTCCAGCAAGTTCTTCCTCACAGGTCAGAAAACCTGGCAAGCCTGCCAACAATCCCTTAGCGCCTACACTTACGAAGAACACAGCTCACCCCAGACCATATGAACGGCAGACCAGCTTCCTAAGACCTCGCTCAGAAGACAGAGTGATTGCTCTGAAACCCATCGAAATTGTTCTGCCTCCGGTAATGTTGCCATTTTCAAGTTCCCAAGGGATCAAATCTCAGCTACCAACTCAACATTTTTACTATCGTTGGGTTGGACCCAAGACTGTCATGCCCAGCTACTTTCCCTCACCATCAATAACCAGAAGAGGGGAAAAGCCTAAAGAAAACTTACCTTCCTCCCTACTCCGGCGTCCTCGACCATGGCTTTGACTGTCTTGTGTTTTTTACAGGGGTCAAGAGCAGTTAAATTTTTTTTTTTTCAAAGTCTGATATTTCTCTGAAGGTTAGATAACCCTACACAAGATACTCATCCTTTGGTCACTTAGTATCTTCTAAATGTGATATTACCTTCAAGAGAATTAGGACAAGTGAGAAAATAATGTAAGTGATCCAACAAAAGCAGAATTCCTACATTTCAACAGTTCAGTGCTGATCTGTTCTAGAATGTCCGGCTGTAGACTCAGTATCAGCTGTTAGAACTTGTCTTCTTGCTAACTTTCGGTCTGGACTCAGGATACTGTTTTAAGAGGAAGCTGCAAGTTTTTCCTGCAGGGAAACACTGCCTCATAACAGATGTGGGGCTGGTGACTGGAAAGTGTGGCCAGGGAAAAGATGCTGGCCTTCACGCCTACTTGAGGTCACTTTTCTGTATCTATTCAGTTGTGGTTTGACATTTTCCATCACTATGGAGGTCGATTTTTTTTTCTTAAATATCAAAATATTCTTTAAACACGGGATGGCATGTGTTTTTGTGATGTGATTGAGTAGGAAGGACAGGCAATTTTGAAGTTCCAGGTGTGGGTAGTTCAGCTGAATGCTACCAGAGTGAAAACTGTTTCTCCTTGGAAGAGCTTCCAGGATCCCGAGCAGATTGAACATAGTCAGCTTTCCCTTCTGACCATGCCAATCACAGTTGTGGAAAAGTGACTGTACACAGATTTCCATCTAATTCGTAATAATTCTGAGGGGGAGGAAAACTGAATGCAAGTGACACCTATTATTGAAGAGATCCATAAAAGTGTCTGCTTCTGTTCCAAGATCAGGTGAAACAGTAAAATCTACAAGTCCTATCAAATGGCACTCGGTAATCAAACTTCAGTAAATCATTTCTGATGCACAATTAAAATACATTGTAGCACTATGTTAATTATATTAAAAGTCAATTCATCTTGAATGTATTATCAGTTGCCTATCAAGAATTGGTATGATGATCATTTCTGGGTCTATTGATTGGTTTTTCATCATGGAAACAAAAATTAACATTAAATCAAGTAAGTTACGACTATGAAACCTATTGTTTAAAATATGTTCATAGACACATTCATAAAGTTTGAATATAAAGTTCTATTTTCAGAATCCAGTTGTGTTGAACAGTTTTATGTAAATTCCTAAATGTTCAAGTCAGGCGGCATGATTTCAGTAGACTATTATCCTCTTCAAGATGAATTTTTAGGCCTGTATCAGCTCTAACATTCTAGTCTTCATTTTCTCACTTGAAGTGAGGATAAACAAAATGGCAGATTTCATTTTAGTAGTAGTAAATCTTTATTTTAGCTGAAAATTTACATTTATCAGAATGTGTCAGGGAAGAAAGGCAACAAGCCTTTTTATACTTGAACTTCTATTTTAAATCCCCAAAGAATTCTCAATTATGACTCTCAAAAAGTACAGAAATGTTTTAAACGCTCAGCTTAATTTATTGATTTCAAAAATAAAAAATGAGACCAGTTTCAAAAATAAGGTCTTTCCTCCTACTCCCTACTGTCTGGCTCTGAGTGTCCCAGGCCTCTAGAGCGCTAGCTAGGGCAGCTGAATTGAACTTTGTTGGGTAAAGAGCTAGTATTTTATCCCTGGAACCGCTTATTCCTCCTGCCTCTTCCCCTGCCCAAGGCTGAAAAGTATTCCATTGTCCCAAAGTAGCAGGTTTAAGATATTTATTTTCTGTGATGTTATAAAAAGATAATTCATCGTGGAGGAATAGTTCATGATATTTTTCTGATAAGCTTGTGATTCATGTCGTATCACAATTTAAGCCACTTATTTTCAGTATCTCAGCACTCATCCTGTCACTATTTTTCTCTAGAAATATATGGAGATTTTGAACGGTTAAGCTTGTAGTGTTCTTCTTTGAGGGTCTTTTTTTTTCTTTGAGGGTCTTCTAAGAAGAACACCATCAATTATTTAAGTGCTTTCGTAAAAAGGGAAAAAGACTGGATAAAACTGTGAGAATGCTAGTGAAGGAGAATACTGATTACACTCACATTTTCCTTTCTTGAGCTTCTTAGAGCAAAGCGCTGCAAAAACCTAAAATAATGAATTTACTGGTAGATTCTCCAATAGCAAATTTTGTCTGAAATTACTTACCACTAATGTAATACCCGAAACCAAAATGAAATTTTGTTCCTTCAGAGTAACTGCCTTTGATAGAGTTAAGAAGAAGCTATGATGGGGGAGGGAGGGATTGCAAAATGGACAACAAGGAGAAATGGGTACACACTGATCTCATGTGGATCTGGCAGTTAAACTAGCCCACATCTAACTGGCTCTTCTGGTTACCTTGGATTTTGGACTTAGTGCTTGTACAACATTATTGTTTATTAACATCAGGTTCTTTAAAGTAATGAAAGCTAGACTCTTAATACTAGGAAGACTGCTCCCACCCATCCCGAGCTGGTGACTAAGGATGCCAGCTGCCCTTCCTGATTGCCCCATCAGGGCAGTGCGATAAATTACTCAAAATTTAAAGTGACTATAGTTCTTACCAGGTGGAAACCTGCAGTAACAGTCAAAGCACAATCTTTCATTACTAACGTGGTTTTTAACTTGAGGTTAGAATCATCTGAAGAGAGAATGACTAGCGTGGAGATTCTACACTGGTTATTTCCATTCCTGGATCGATAGGACTGAGATGGCAGATGAATGAGCCAGACATTTTGTGCAGCTAAGTTTATTCTCACAACATATTACATTTAAATGTGTAAAAGTGGTCAACAGCAAAGGGGGCAGAAAGCAAAACCAAATGTTCTTTCAGGATAAACAAGCTGCTTTGGATGGCAAGGAGTGCTCTCATTGATAAAAGTGTGAGCGGAATCTTTTCTCTGAAGCTGAACTAAATTAAACTTCATTTTACTGGCTGTGTAGCACACATGTCAGCTGTGTATTAGGTTAAGGAAGCCTGGCAACCTAGAGAGCTAATGGTTTTATTAGTTAAATTGTGCTAGTCTCAGGGCTCTGCTTTTCGTGGGAATTCATGAATTTGTGTTGCAAATGCTTATGAAATGAGGCCATCATATGAGAAAAGGAGGAAAGAATTTGGGGCTTTCTAGTAAATGACCTGGTGTAGAATCATCTTACAAATCTCCATCATAAAATCAGAGTGGATTTTGTAAAAAAGTAGCAGTGCCAACAGTTTATCACAAAGAACTTATTTTAATGGAAATGGGTCTAAATGTCCCTTCATGCAACCAGACAGACACAAACAAAAAACAATGGTCCTAATTAGCTATAGGTGATCTTCTATCCAGGTGGAAACAAAGGGCTTGTGGACATGTGTCTTTTAGATGAGATCACATGTGCTGTGAAGAATATAAAAACAAAGCACCCAAGCAGTGCTTCAGGTTTGCAAAGTAAAGTTTTTGCCATAGGCATGTTGGCTATTCCCCTTGATGCTGCCAAGGAGCACATATATGAGGTGGCAAGTCTGCGTCTATCTAGCTGCTTTTAAAAAATAAAAGGAACTTTAAGCATTTTGCCATTTCTTCTACATATTCCAATAAAAATGTGACTACAAATCATTACAAAACCACCTTTTAGGCGATGTATAGTTCACTGAGATTACTTAGGCCTGGATACACTGTGAGATACTATCCAGTCAAGATAATACATTAACACAATAATGCAGTATATTTCAGTAAAAATAGAATAAATAAAATAAAAATATTTCAAGCCGTATTTAACAGGTTAATTAAAACAATGATAAGACGTACGAGGAATAGCGGACATGGCCGCCTGTTTACCGCGTCGCAGGTCTAAAGAAGATGCATAGATAACTCAAGTGTCACCTCAGCGTCGGGTGAGACACCGCGCCCTCTCACAGAGAAATACACACATACTGTCACACGTACTTTTTGGCCATGGCAGAAAGTGTCTGAACGCTCTGTTTAACGTAATGGATTTTACAAAATTAATTGCATTTAGTACGCAAAGCTATTTTCAAAACAGAATATCTGCAGTAAAGTTTTCAGTATGTAAAGCCTATCATTCATCTTAACACATTCTATAATTGCATATATTAATCAGTTTGCTACTTAAAGCTAGCTCAGTATTCTTGATCCTGAAAACAAACAAAGGTATACCTTAAAAAATGAACAGTAGGTTCTGGTAGAGATTTCCAGTAGAGAAGTGGGTGACTGATTCAGAATTTTTCTCACACTAGAACCTTTCTTTCCCTGCGGAGATCGTGATGAAAGACCATCATCATTAAATTTTAAACAGCTTTTCGAAGGGCACGGTAAGGATTTTCTTAATGCGATAATTTCTTAGGATGGCACTGGTTACTTCAGATAGACTAGTATATAGGCTGGTGAGAAGCAGAACTCCTTTCTAGGGTGGCATCTTTTTTGTCACAACACTACAGTGCCAGCCAACAGTTCCAGGATTCTGAGGGAACGGAGGCAGGAGGCCACCGACTCCATCATGTTCTCTGGTGGCTAAGTACCATGGGTTAGGAATATCTCTACCACAAGTAACGTCATCTCTGGAAAATCTCGTGAGTTGAACAGGCTTGTGCTGCGTGTAGGATCCTGTTCTCTGCAACACGTTTGAGGCACACTGTAGGAAAATAGGCCTGGACTGAGTGAGGGCAATGGTTTTATGATTAATACCACTGCATGAGGAATTTGGATGTATTTCCCTATTTATACAGGGAATTCAAAGATTTTTCTTTCTTTTCTTTTCTTTTCTTTTTTTTTAATAATAACCAGTTATGCCCAGGGTAATTCTGGAGAAACCCTCACTGATGTGGAAGCAACATAACGTATAACAGAGTTGGGAAGCATGGGTTCTGGTCCTGGCTCTCTCATAAAGTTTTGAGACATCTTAGGCTAAGTGACTGAGCCTCTTGGTAGTTTATATATATTTTTATTTCTCAAATGTGTTTATAGAGTACCTTTCTCTACCTGTTAAGGCTCAAATGTGATAAGACTGTGGAAACCGTTTTGACAAGAACATAGTAGTGGATAAACAAAGTGTTACTTTTTATAACTGGATGTCTTAAAAATGTTAATTTTGACATTAAAAAGTTAACTAAGGCTAATATTTAGATTGGTCTCCTTAGCAACTTCTTTTTAAAACAACAATGTCAATAAGAGTCTAAATCTGTGTATCTTTAGAGGTGAGAAAATGTTATTTTTGGGACACTTGTTAAGCAGTTCATTGTTGCTGTGTATATTTCGCTCTGATACGAAATTTTTAAATCTTGAAAAAAATGGAAAAAATATAAATTTAAAAATATATCTAGTAAAGTCCAACAAATTCTAATATTAAATACATAAATTCAGAAAGATTCGATTTAATGTAATTTGTTGCCATGGACAATACATGTTGGACAGACAGCTTTCTGGGCAAAAAGCAGGAAGGTAAGACTGCATACAGAATCCTAGCAGGACATTTCACTAGGAGGACTAACATAATGACATGGTGGTAGAGAGTCAAAGTATGAATGACACTCCCTCAACTCCAAATTGCATATTGGCTGATTATCAAACTAAGGATGAAAGGCTTACGAGGAATATTTCATTGTAATGTTGTTTATGTAGAGAATGGCCATAGTGAACTATAATTCTCTAGCTGCATTGTACAATATAAGGCAGAAGTTTGAAATATGTACCACCCAAAATGCCTTATGATTTTCTTAAATCTTTTTTTTTAAATAATCGGTTTGAAAACCATCTAGAAAGGCTATTTTTTTGTTCATTTTAATTTCTCAAATTTGGTTTGTTTTTCACTTTTGAAGTTCACTTTTCCCCCAACATCCCACAAACAGCTGTAGACATGAAATGGTGTCTGTGTGTCAAAGAGCTCGTCAAGGAAAGCTGCCATTTGGTTCCTGTCCTGATGCCAACAGCCAATTGTGTCAACAAAAGGTTCAATTTTATGAAAGACTGAAACAAAAACTCATCATCCTATTTTAACAGCAATTCAATGGTATCTGGTATGCAGTGGCTACTCCAAAGTTGGAAACAGGGCAAAGTGCTGTAGGACTTAAACATTGCTTGTGACAGATCCAGTCAAGAAGACAGTGAAACTAACTCAGGTGTCATTTGCTCCAAGGACTCCGCATGAGTTCACTAGGAGGGGTGTGGCCACATTCTTCTCTGTGTATGTGAAGTTAAGTAATGTTCACGGTATTTACAATAAGAAAAAGACCTTCCACTGCTCATGATGTATCTGACTCATAGCAAAAAAAATTAGTCATGCTTCTTTTCATATCACATGATGGTGGCAAGACGAGAGAACATGCTTGTCTAACACTGTTTGGTTAAGGATAAATTCTCTGAAGACAAAGCATCAGCAACTGAATGGAAGGCCAGGTATCAGTTCATCTTCTTTAGTGTAGCTATTCAATCTTCAGGTAAATATTCCAGAATCCTTGGACATATGCAGCTATGGCGTCTCTGTGACAGGGCGTTTCTGTTTCAAAGTGTCAATGAGGGATAAGACCCCTCGTTTTACATTGGTCGTGACTCTTCTGGTCACGGAGTCTGCTGGCGGAGGAGGTGGTCGAACTTTCTGTGAAGGTGGCCTGGCTACCAAGCACTTCTGGTATCGTAACTGAAATAAAACAAAAATGTTTTATGGTCATTAATGACATATCATCCCTTCTTGTTTGATTTTAATTCACCAATGCATTTACTTCCAAAACGTAATGACTTAGCTCCTAAACATAAATCCAAGAGTTATTTCTTTTCTTAATGTGGGTATTTTATTTTATTTATTTTTTAAAAGAGTTTATTCATGAGACACACAGAGAGAGGCAGAGACACAGGCAGAGGGAGAAGCAGGCTCCATGTGGGGAGCCCAATGTGGGACTCAATCCTGGAACTCCAGGAT